GAAGAGGAACGGCTGCTGTACCTTTGTGTAAGAGTGACACAGCAGCAGCTGTTTTTACCTTTAGTGACATCATCTTTTACACATTTGTACAGGTTTAGGGCAGGTTGTTGCAGTGATTACTCTGTGTGCCTTCATCTTCAGGTGTTTGTGAGAAACAAACTCACCCATTAAGCTGTTGAACTGTATGCCAGTGAAACAAAGACATAATTACTGCCTGTCGGAACCATGACTGTTTCTTTGTTCCTCTTTACATTTAAACAAAAGTGATCAAGTGTTTTTCATACCTCAGTGCTGCAGTTTGTATCTGTGTGTTTTTCATCTGCTGTTGCCTGGAGCTCAATTCCGGTGGTTACTGCTGCTTTGTCTGGAACTGGATCAAGGGCGTAGATTCCACTAGAATATTTAAATGTAGCTCAGTCTGGTTCATCGCTTGGCCTCCACACTTGAAGTCTGAAACATTCTTATTAAATTAATGAGCTAAAAATAGGCTCAGTAAGGTCCAGCTTTATCTTCCTCTAATCCAGCAGTGACTTCTGTTCTGTGTTTTTAGGACATTTTAAAGTCATTTTTCAGCAGGTTTATTTTGATCACGTGATGATTTTACCATCTGTCTCAGAGTCAAACTAGAGAAAACGAAGAGAAAGGGCTAATAAACAAAAAGAGACAAAGAAGAGAAAAGGCCACTAAAAAAATAATCAATCAACCATCCATCTATTCGCTTCCGCTTATCCTTTTCAGGATCACGGGGCGTGACGGAGCCTAATGCAGCTGTCTTAGGATGAGAGGCAGAGTACACCCTGGAAAGGTCGCAAGTCTGTCACAAAAAACAAAGTAAATAAGTGAATAAATAAATACATGAAGAAAACAATCTTATCTACATTTTTTATGTTCAGAATGTGCCTTCAGGCGTTCTTTAGATTCTTGAATCATGAGTTTGACTTGAGTAAAAAAAGATTCTGCAGATACTATCTGTTTCTGTTCTCTGTGGAAAAACAGCAGCTCTGAAAAGGAGGACATTTGTGGAGGTGAAAGTGAATAAGATCACTTTTTAATGGATATAAACATCACGTGTCCTACAGACAAGATAACTGATGTAAAACTTTATTTGTGTCTCTTTTTATATCAGATTTGTTCATGTTTAAGGATAAGCTTGAGGATAAAAGTGATCAAGTGTTTTTCACACCTCAGTGCTGCAGTTTGTATCTGTGTGTTTTTCATCTGCTGTTGCCTGGAACTGGATCGACAGGTTTCTAGTGAGTTAATCTGTTTCCACATTCAAAGATTCCTCCTGTCAATCACTTCTGGTTTGTTAAACACAATTAAAAATCAGAAACACGTAATTAAATGTCCAACCTGTTTGTCAGAGGATCCTCACAAGGTTTAACTCTGAGCTCCAGAATAATGTTGAAGTACTGCGCTTAAAATGAGAACGGAGTCATGCTAGGCTAACAGACTTGTTGCTAGCAGGTAATGTGAGCTTCAAGTAGAGTAGCGATGCTAATGAAGCACAAATGGTATTTGTGACAGTTAGTTTATCAATGTATGAGTCCTTTAAGTTTGTAATTTGTTTTTGAAATGTGTTAAGGTAACAGGAGATATAAAGAACTATAAAGACTGAGAACCTTCACAGACAGGAGATATAAATGCCATAACCAATGTATACGTTCACTAATGAACTCTATATGACCGGTAGTTACATAATTGCTTGATGTGAGTTACAGTAGATTGTATTTGATGATGCAAGTGATACGTCTGTGTAACCTGAATAGAGACTGCTTTATTATGGTTAACGTGAACAAATCTTCAGATACTGTTACAAGGGTCACTTTGTAGTTAAAGTACAACTGAAGAACATTGGACAACAATGTTCCTCAGTTGTACAACAATGGACACATTACACTTTGTTGATGCTACTAATAAAACTTGGGCTGCTCTTTTTTTGTATGTGTTCCTTTTGCGTAGACATACCGCAAATCAATTTTCCATTCTTGACTAATGTTACCATTGGACATGAGATTTTACTTTTATCGTGCCTCTGTTGTCATGTAATGATACACTAAGTGTTAGAGTGAATTGTTAAATGTTTGTCATTTTTATGCTTACCATCTCTACATTGTTTAACTCTGTAATGAAAGGATTCTTCTGTCCTTCCCCCCAGATTCTCGAGCTTCTGGGTGGGGGGCTGTAGTCTTTTATTACAGACACAGCCTTGTGAAAGTCTGTTTGATGTAAGCTTCAGGAGGTCACACACACACACACACACACACACACATAACACACACACACACATAGACACATGCTTTGTCTTAGAACCATGTGGGCGTTGCTTTGCTGTGATGTGTTTTGTGTGAACTGTTTCTCAATAAAAGGCAGCGGGAGGAGGCCGGATTTGGGGTCATTGTGTGGTAGACACCGACGAGGCCTCCCTTGCAAGTGAATCGATCGATCGCTGACTGTCTTGTTTTCTTTGACGGGAATAAGTCTCGAAACCAGCGGGGCTTGTGGAAACACACACCCAACACTAAGGTTATTCATGCATTTCCTGAGAATTAATTGACATCTGCCATGCCATTGCTAGTGGGTTTATTTTTCCACTTTGAGGAATCACCAGCCAAAACAGTTTATTTATTATAATTATTTATTAAATCATTGGATGATCAAAAAATGAATATGTACATAGATCCTCCTTTTGTTCAGGAAGCCGCAATCAGCTGTGGCCACTTTCCCAAAAGAGAGTAACCTTTTCTAGCATTCCACAGTTTAACATGACAATGTGCATGTATTAAACTGGTTAAAACTGGTGGGGAGAAGCTGCTTGTTTTGCAGGAACTGAACTAAGAGTTGGCCGTGACTGATATTAGGCGCCAGTTATTGTGTCACATTCTTTTATACAATATCTACAATAATACAAAAACCCAACAATCATATGACCCCCTATGAGCAGCACTTTGGCGACAGTGGGAAGGAAAGACTCCCTTTTAACAGGAAGAAACCTCCGGCAGAACCAGGCTCAGGGAGGGGCGGAGCCTTCTGCTGCGACCGGTTGGGGTGAGAGAAGGAAGACAGGATAAAAGACATGCTGTGGAAGAGAGACAGAGGTTAATAACTAATATGATTCAATGCAGAGAGGTCTATTAATACATAGTGAGTGAGAAAGGTGACTGGAAAGGAAAAATTCATTGCCTCATGGGAATTCCCAACAACCTACACCTATTGCAGCATAACTAAGGGAGGATTAAGGGTCACCTGATCCAGCCCTAACTATGTGATTTAGCAAAAAGCAAGCAAGCAACCACAATTTGTTAGTTGATACTGGAATTACTGTAGTTACTTTTAATAAAATCAGGTCTAGAGAAGAGTTTGACATTCAGCAATTCATGTACATCTTCTCTGTGTTTGTGATGCTTGGAGAGTCACTTGGATGTTTCTTATTTGTAAAATGATTAGTGTCACACAGACAACCATCTCAACTAAAAACACACTGAACCTTTCAGGCCAAACCCACCTGACTGTTTAATCAGATGTTGTCTGCATTTCATCGCTGATCCCTCATGGAGTGACATAGTCTTGCTCTGCACGCCACGGAGATGGAGTTTGGCACACTGGAGGAGGGTGCTCTTTCACCATTCACTCTTTTGAGTGAGAGCACGTTGTACACCCTTGTTGTCTTTCTCAACATAAAAGCAGAAATCTTTCAACCCTTTGGGTTATTGCTGTGATTCTGGAATCTTCTTGTGATAGCCAGCATGAATCCAAGTAGGACGACTTTTGACCTTAATGGCTGTCTGGGTTGTCAGCTGTACTTGGAATGGTCTCTGCCTTGACCTGGTTCTCTGAAGATCTCTGATCAGCACCCAGGCTCAGTCTGGAGTTTCCACCTTCGGAGGATTTCTGGCTTTGGCTACTGCACCTGCATTTTTTTAGTAGAAGGGAAAACTTCAACTCAGTTTCAGAACATGTCAACAATCAAAGAAATATTTTTACCTTTACATTGTGTGAGCTCAATTAAGTCTATTTATAGACTACCAAAAGCCTTATTTGGCCATAGACGATTGTCAGTTAAACATTTTTTATAAATATATTTATGTATATATTTATGTTTTGCACAAAGTTTTAGGCAATTTTTACAAACACAAATTTTTTTACACATGCACAAGTTCACAACAGATGCACAAACATACAATTTTCACAAATTTTGTTTACAAGGTTACAAAACTCAAATATGCATTTGATTTACAAATACAAAATATTTATGACCACAATTTGACCCCATAATCGGGTCCCGCTGTTTTGCCATTAGAGAATGATTTTATAGCCTTGACAACCTCCTGAAGACTAAACTCAGAATCAAGATAATCCCGGTCAGGGTTCCTCAGTTTAGTCAGTGGGAGGGAATCAAAGAAACACCTAAAATCAGATTGCAACACATGCTTAAGAGAATATAACTCACTATAGAACTGAAACAACGGTTTATATCAATGGGGTTAGTTAGCAGAGTTCCTGTTTTAGAGTTCATGCTGCAGCACTAAAGGCTTAAAAAAGTCCATCAGTTTTATCTCACATTTTAAACTGAAGTGGAGCGTCTTCTTCACTACCAGACACACTGGACCCACTACAGTTCGCTTACCGTCCAAATCGTTCCACAGACGATGCCATCTCTCATCTCCTCCACACATCACTTACTCACTTGGACACTAGAAGGGGGAATTATGTTAAAATGCTCTTCATAGACTACAGCTCTGCATTTA